CCCCCCCCCAAGCGAAAGATCAGAGCGGGACCGGCTTCGCAGCTTCAGCAGAAAAGAAGCCCTTCCCGGCCACTGCCTACAGCGGTAAAAGTGCAGCGTTTTTCCCCTAGCGCTCCCCGCGCCCCTCCCTCCGTCCCATCCTCCAGCCTATTTCTTCTTTTTTTCTTAAAAGAGAAAAACTCCAGCAACACACAAAGAGCTGAGCATGTGCAGCAGCAAAAGTCTTAAAGGCACCGCAGTCCGACCACGTTGAGGGGTCCGCAAGAACTGGGAGGGGCGAGGGCGAGGGGCAGCGCGGGTCGCGGAGCCGGATCCGCAGCCGAGGGACGGTGTGGGGGCGGGGGGTGTCATTTCTTCCGCGGAAAGAATGACTCCCCGGCCCCCAACAAAGAGCGGCGAGGTTCTGAGCCCCCCTGGCGCGCCGCCCCCCTCCGACACTGCCTCAGAACCCCAGGTTATCTCCCTTTCTGCTCTCAGTGTTTCCTTCTCCATCTGGGACAATATTCTGCCTTGAAAAATATTGCAACATCGGGGCTTTTTTTTTTTTCCAGAAGGGCAGAAATGATGCCCAGAAAAGAGCCTTTTTTTTTTTTTACTTCCTATGTGGCAGGCTTTCCTCCTTTAGATGACTTTCCAAGATTTGATGGCATATGCTGAAATTTTTGCTTTGTACCTTCGTACCTTCTCTGAACAGGCCATTTGAACCCTTGAGAAAGGAAGCTGGAGATGAAATGCAGCCATGGGCACTCGAGTTACAGCAATGTTATTGGATCCCCACCAAAGAGCAGGCAGTATGGAAAAGAATCTGAAATCTACCAAAGACATTTCTGACAGCAAAAGCAGCAAAAGTTTTTATTGTAACCACACAGCCATAATATTATTGTTAAGATTGAACTCGTGTTTATTTGGGGCATAATGTACCCACGTCATCTCTTTTAATCTCTGTTACCCCCACTTTGTAGATAAAATCCTCCATTAACCCCATTTTGCAGATGAGAATAGAAAGACTCAAAAAGGTCCAAAGATTTGTCAATGACAGATTAGAAGTAAGCAATGAACCATGCTTTAAACACGAGTCTTCTGACTTCTGTGCTTTTTCAGCTGTTTACCAGGCTGTTTCTATTAGCAGATGCTTTGTTCTAGTTTGGTGAATAAAATGTAAGTGTTGGCTCGGTCTGCAAATACCTCAGCAATGACTTAAGGAGGGGAATAAAGGTCCAGAAAGAGGTAACTCCTTAGGAAGTAAAAAAAAAAAAAGGAAAACCATGATTTTCATTTATATAACAAAGCACAGTTCCCCCAAAGTAGCAGAACCAGAAATGTCCTCCTCAAACCTAAAAATTTGGACAGGTCCTTCAACTCACAACTTTTCCATATCGGTTTGTCCCTTAGAGATTAGTTGAAATGAGGAGAGGAGAACATTTTGGGAAAAAATTTAAAAGGAGGATATCGTTCTAGATCACACATTTTAATTTCCATGAAGGCAAAATCAGAAGTCTCTAGGATTAGCCATGCATGAACAATCCCTTGTGGCTTTCTCCATTCCTCTCATGCCAGCCAAGGTTTAAAGTCAACCACATCCTTCTCATGTCTAATGTAGAGGTGCTTTCAGACATGTGGAAAGTGGCCAGACTCTTAAAACCATCACTGAGTGCAGAGGTAGCTCACAGGGTACACAGGAGCCGCTTTAACAAGAGAGCACTGCTCAGCCACTTACTGACTGTAGGCTATATTTAAGCAAAGGGTTTGCCCATTAAAAATATACATCTTTTAATCTTCTAACCACTATAATCAGTTCAGTAGTTTACGTTACACTGCAGAACATGCAGCCCTACAGGCCTCCTCTCAACACTGCCTTTAGAATCAAGCTGAATATCTTAAATTTATATAAAATTGTTCTCAGAAGGATCTCACAGGATTTTCACTTGCCCTATATCCTATTTTTCTTTCAAACTCTTTCAGTCAGCATTTACTGAGTAACTATTATGAATTTAAGCAAGAGAAAACAAAGATGAATAAAACATGATTTCTACCCCTGAATAAGCTTATCTTTTATAAGGCTCACTAGATTGGGAGTTCCTAATACAGTTGAATGTAGACACAGAAAACTTAAATGATTTACAGTGGTCTCACAAAATAGTGGTAAAACTGGCCCAGGATCTTGACAAATGTTTCAGTATCTTCTTTGATCAAGAAATTTTAAAACTCCAACATGATGCTATCTCTTTTTTCCGAAGAAGGAGAGTCAGCATCCTAGCTGTGCTACATGACACTACAATAATTCATAGTATTGGTAATAGCAGTCATAAATTCAGCAGAAAGGTGAAAATTTACTCCAAAGAGAGAGTGGGGGAAAAGTCACTTTTACTGAAGTAGAATGAAACTGTTAAGATTTTGAAAGTATCTATTAAATTTGCTTCAAGGGGAAAGATAAGAAAGTATATTTGCTCAACAATTAGCCTTATATCAGGACCTTTAAATATTAGGGGGAGTGTGTTCCATTTCCATTCATACCACCTAACAATGGGTCTATAATATAAAAGGCAAAAGTCTGAGACTTCATGTAGCCAAATTGAAGGAATGCGAATGATTTTGCTTTTAAAGAACAAGAGAAATTATAGATCCATTGCTCTGTTGATTGCTATTCAAAATAAAGTAAAAGATCCTATTTGAACTAATGAACCAAAGCAGCCCCTTCTCAGTTGCTTGATTGAAGAATTATCTTTACTCTGGTTATTGTGCATCATTCGGCTCATGGGAGGCTTCTGAAAGCAGCCAAGGTAATGAGAGCTGTAGCTAGTGTGGCCCCAAGAGCCAGAAATGCATTAATTCAAAGGGACTCTTAGTGCAAATGGGACAGTATTTTAAGACACTGATAGAGTATGAATGGTCTGTGAGTTTTGAGCGTGGGGGAAAAAAATCACCTTGAAGCACTCATTAAAGTATATTGATCATATTGAAAATATTGATATGGCTCTGACCTGAAACCCCACCTCCCCTCCACAACCAAAATCAAACACGCTGCTTTCTCTTGGATTCATTCTTTCCTTCTAGCAGTTTCTCCTGCTGTCACTCTTGCAAACACACACATACAGACTGATCCTGCCAATTTTTCAACTTAACACATTTCAAACATATTGTTATAAGTAAATTCAAGGAAATAAGTCCAACGATTCTAAATATACTCTGCTGGACTAATACATTTTTGTTTAAAACTGGGAAATAAAATGAGCGTGTTTAAACTTTTTATCCTAAATATTCAGACTTGTTACCCAAAAAAGTTGATTGCCAGCACTCAATTGCAAAAATGTGTCTTTTGTGAAACAATTCAATAAAAATATGGGCTAGGATGTCTTGTTAAACATAGTGGACTAAGTATATGCATTTACTCCTACTCTGAAATTTACAAACATGGGAGGAAAAAAAGAATTTTCTTTTAATTTTTAAAAGTATAAAGTCACAATTACAAAGAAAATGAGAATAGAACCAAGTAGTAGGTGACAGGTATGCATGCATTTGGAAGAGTCAATTCATTGGAAGGAGGAAAGTGAATGGAGAAATATATTCCTGCAAAGATAAATGACAATAAGAAGCCTGTTTCTCCTGAAGACCCCAGGAAAGTCTCAGGATTCAGAGGCAAGAGTTGCCATAGACAGTAAAGATGGGGCTTTAGGATGAAAACGGGGTAAATGGTTGAGGCCAACATAAGGACCCACAGTACCCTTCCTCACCCCAAGCAGCTAAAACTAACCCAGACCCAACTGACAGGAGGTTAAAACTCTTAAGAAATTAAATCAAAGAGGTTTCAGATTTGGGGCACCAGAGATGATGGAAGGAGGCAGTGAGGTACATAGTTGAAAATGGAGAGATTAAGTGAAAATCTGTATGTTGAATTATATCATTTCCTTGCCTCCTTTGCCTTCCTATTCCCAGAACACCTATAGCCAACTGAATAACCTCCAGGCAGAAACCTGAAGGACATTCATCTGAAAAATGGAATGGTCCAAGAGAAAAGATACTGTCATTTGGGGTCTCCCAACCAGATGGCAAACCTACAATAAATGAAGCCCAATGGATAACCTTACAATGAAGCCTGCTAGTCAGTAAGCCAATTCAATCCTTTTTCTTATGACTCTTTCTTAAATATAGACAGCAAAAGTTCATCTGACATAAAATACAGAAACCAAAACAAAGAAAAAGAAATTAGAGATAACACAGTCAAAGCAATAAAAGAAAGTTTTGCAACCATGAAATAAGTACTGGATATTCTTAAAAACATGAAAGGACACTCAGAGAACATTAAAAAAAAAAAAGATAGCCAAAATTAAAATGCAGTAGACACTTGCATTTTAAATAAATGCAGATAAATGTAGGAAATCATCTAGAAATTAGAATAAAAGACAAAGAAGGCATCTCCTCTTATGGATAAAGGGAAAACTACGATTAGAAGCTTCATTAATGATGATGTATGATTATAAATTAAGCATTTATCATGTGAGTACATTTATTAATGTGGTGGTTCATTAATGCACAACTCCAATGTAAGAGCAGAAAAAATCATCTAGATTAATTTATTGAACATAAGAAAATTTCCCAGAACTAGACTGAGCCTCCAGATTCCTAAAACACTGAGATTAACAGACTCACATATTAGGGGGGAGTGGAGAAGAGAGAGAGGAAGGAGACAGGCAAATGCAATGGTGTCCACAAGTATGAGGATAAAGACATTTTCAGACACACAAACCTCCATAAATTGTGTCTCCTAAGGGGCCCTTCTTTAGGA